CTGACTAATTCTATAGTTGAAGCAAGAGCTGCCTCAGTACCAAAATGCGAGGTTAAATTCGATTCAATTATAATAGACGACGATCTTCAGCTCTTGATCCGTCTTAAAAATGTCCGTAGGAGACAATATCAAAGAACACGCGATCCTGCCATGAAGGTTATCTGGCGGGATTTGCAAAAATCCTCTGCCCTGAGGAACAAAACTTTTGAAAATAATATTTCTAAATTAGACCCGAGTTCCAAACCCTTTTGGAAACTCACAAAAATTTTGAAAAAAACCTCAAAAGCCTATTCCAGCGCTTAAAGAAGGTGGTAAAATTTTGATCACAAATTTGGAAAAAGCTCAGAAACTTGCTAAGCAATTCGAGAGTTCCCATAATTTCAGTTTGGGTCTTACTAGTCCCATTGAGAATCAGGTTGCTCGGGATTTTCTGAATATTTTCTCTCGGGAAAATATTTTTGATGATTCCTGGGGGACTGATTTGGACGAAGTAAGGTCTATAACTAAAAAGTTTCAAAATATGAAAGCTCCAGGTGATGATGGAATTTTCTATATCCTCATCAAAAAACTCCCAGAGAGTACCTTGTCTTTCTTGGTAAAATTATTTAACAGATGTTTCCATTTGGCATACTTTCCTGATAAATGGAAAAATGCAAAAGTTGTTCCAATTTTGAAGCCGGATAAAAATCCAGCTGAAGCTTCTAGCTACCGTCCAATAAGTTTGCTTTCTTCAATAAGTAAACTTTTTGAAAAAATAATTTTGAATAGAATTATGCTTCACATCAACACGAACTCAATTTTTGCAGATGAGCAGTTTGGATTTCGCCATGGGCATTCAACTACTCATCAACTCTTAAGAGTTACCAATTTAATTCGTTCAAACAAATCTGAAGGCCACTCAACTGGAGTTGCTCTTCTAGATATAGAAAAAGCATTCGACAGTGTTTGGCATGAAGGTTTGATAGCTAAATTGAAAAAGTTTAATTTTCCACTTTATATTATGAAATTAGTTCAAAATTATTTAACTGACAGAACTCTGCAGGTAAATTATCAAAATTCCAAATCTAATCGACTACCTGTTAGAGCAGGAGTTCCTCAGGGTAGCATTCTTGGGCCTATATTGTATAACATTTTCACTTCGGACCTCCCTGATTTGCCTCAGGGTTGCCACAAATCTTTGTTGGCTGATGACACAGGCATTTCCGCTAAAGGAAGAAGTCTTCGTGTTATTTGCAGCAGACTGCAGAAAAGTTTAGATATTTTCTCTTCTTATTTACAAAAATGGAAGATTTCTCCCAACGCTTCCAAAACTCAACTTATAATATTTCCACATAAGCCTAGAGCTTCCTTTTTGAAACCTAGTAGTAGTCACATAGTCACTATGAACGGAGTTCCAATTTCCTGGTCAAACCAAGTGAAATATATTGGATTAGTAATTGACCAAAAATTAACTTTTAAGGATCACATTGAGGGCATTCAAGCTAAATGTAACAAATATATTAAATGTTTGTATCCTCTTATAAACAGGAAATCCAAACTTTACCTGAAGAATAAACTTCTAATATTTAAACAAGTTTTTAGGCCGGCCATGCTTTACGCTGTGCCAATATAGTCTTGTTGTTGCACTACCAGGAAAAAAGCACTTCAAAGGATTCAGAACAAAGTTCTGAAAATGATTTTGAAGTTGCCTTCCTGGTACAGTACTACCGAGGTACATAGAATTTCGAATGTTGAGACTTTAGAACAAATGTCCAACAAAATAATTAATAATTTCAGGCAAAAATCGTTGCAATCCTCAATTGCAACGATTAATTCCCTTTATACTTAGATAAGATTTAGTTTTAGTTTTTAGTTTTAAGATATGCAGGTTAAAAAACCTGTTTAAAATACTGAATTGCCAAGACATGAACAATGTAAAAAACACTTAGATATATATCATAACAATTAAGGCTGGTACGTTACTGCAGTAACTGGAGCACCTAGGTTAAAATGAAATGTAATTTATTTTGAATTTGGAACAAATGAAGAGTTAAAAAAAAAACAAAAAAAAATACAATTATTACAGAAACAAATCTACAAAAAAAAATTACACACACACATACAAAACACAAACTAAACACAAGGTTAATCAAACTTACAATCTATGGTTAATATTCTTCAAGAAAACATATATGAGTTGCATAAAATCCAGATCGCGTCTAGCCAAAATATCCCGAACTGGAACATTAGGTTGTCTACCTCGAGCCCGAAGGGAATCGTGCAACTCGGATCTGACTCCACGGTGCTCAGCACATGACCAAATAATGTGATCTGCGTCCTGGTAACACTGCAAATCGATGTGTGATGCCATTTTGAAATTCAATATGGTGGCGTCCGGTCACATAAAAACAGAAAAATAATGTTAAATAACCCACAATATGGCTATCTTAAGAATCGGTGTGACGTGTAGGGACCGGAAATCGATGTCTGACGCCATTTTGAAATCCAAGATGGTGGCTTCCGGTTACAGGAAAACAAAAAAATACCGTTGAATACACAACAATATGGATATTTTTGGAATCGGGGTGACCTGTGAGATCCGGGAACCCATGTCTGACGCCATTTCGAAATCCAAGATGGTTACATCCAGGTACAGAAACATTGGAAAATACTGTCAAATACCCCACAATATGGGTTTTTTGGAATCGGAGTGACTTATTAGAGCTGAAAACCCATGTCTGACGCCATTTTGAAATTCAATATGGTGACTTCCGGTTACATAAAAACATAAAAAAATAATGTTTAATAACCTACAATATGGGTATCTTAAGAATCGAAGTGACGTGGTGATATTTGCCAATTTTTCTGTTACTGGAAGCCGCCATATTGGATTTAAAAATGGCGTCAGACATCGATTTCCGGTCCCTAAACGTCACTCCGATTCCACAAATACCCATATTGTGGGGTATTAGGCAGAATTTCCAAGTTTTTCTGTAACCGGAAGTCGCCATCTTGGATTTAAAAATAGCGTCAGACATTGATTTCCGGTTCCTACACATCACTACGATTCCAAAAACGATTCCCAAGCAAACGATTAACGTACCCTATTCTAGTCGAAATTCTAGTACTACGCAATGTTTGTTTTGATTAGCTATGAAAGTTTGACAGATAAAATGAGGGGTTATTGGTTTTACCTATGTTTCGAGGGGTGATTCGACAAGCTTGGGACCGAAGATAGTACCAGAGGTGAGCCAAAAAGTTGAGCACGTTTCTTCGGGACCTACTTGTCTTAGAGTTACCTCTATGGTTTTAGTGTATCTAACAAGTACAAAATATAATTATAACATCTAATGATTTAAAAAATCAGAAAATCATGTTTTATAGCAAGTGAGTGAAAGCAAGCCTGCTTGTAAGTTACAAGAAGAGATGTAATGTCGGTCCAAGTGTCCCTAATTTGGGCCCATACATAAATTCAGCAATCGACTAAATTTTCAATAGCAACCAAACATATCCATTAGTACCGTCCCAATGACGCGTTCATCATTTTTAGCGATGGGCCCAATCTTAGATCCATAGGCCAACATTAGAGCCATTTCCCCTACATCCATTTAAAAAAGCAAGTTTTGAAAGGTTGATAGAACTATTCCACAAATGGTTTGGATGATACCATGAACACGTTGTTAAGCAAAATAAGCATACAAACAAGAATTTGGAATGGTAATGGTATAGCTTATGATGGATCTTCTCATAACTTCTAGCTTCTGCGTAGCTGAATTCTCGTTAAATATACCTGCCATTCACAGTGCGTGCAGCTTTTATTTGAAGCAACATCAAATAGAGGTGATATTTAAATCGTCCCATATTATTCAAGGAAAATGAAATAAATTCACCTTATCGGGAGACACAGAGCATGATCCATAAATCAGTTCATTGGACGCGAGTATCGACGCTTCTAATTTACCATCCTTTTTGATCCAGCATCGGCATATTCGCCAGCAGAACGTGAATACCTGTGTGCCACCACGTGCAGGCTTTCATTTCACACAGATTCCCAAACGGTGGGCAAAGTGCCGCGGTAATTATTTGTGCAACATTTTACGGCCACATTGCACCCACTTTGGCCAGGAATGTGTATTTTATCCGAAGAACGGTGGATATTTGCTACGGGAGAAAGCCGAAGAGATGTTGTTTACGTAACCGTGTGGAGGGGGGGGGGGTCTACATTTGCACCAATAGACACGTTAGGTGGAACAGCTATAGCGTTTTAAAGCTTCACCGGAAATCCTGTTACGCGATTATTAACGAATCGTTAGTCACGTTGAACGCCCCATTAAACATGTGTTGTGCACGTATGTACATTTTTCAGTGTGTGATGAATGTTTGAAGTATAAGAAGATTTGGGTTTTGAAATGAACCATCTGCACTGGTACGGTTAAGTATGCAAGGAATATCAATTATGTCATCTAATTGGGAAATTCGTAAAACGTATCGTAAAAATTCGTTAAACGATGTCCTATGTGAATACCCCTAATAGGGGAAATGGATGTAATGTCGGCCTAAATGCTCCTAATTTGGGCCCATACATAAATTCAGCGATCGACTAAATTTTCAATAGCGACCAAAAATATCCGTTATTACCGTCCCAATGACGCGTTCATCTAGATAAAATTGATAAATAGCATATTTTTAGCGATGGGCCCAATCTAAGATTCATAGACCAACATTAGAGCCATTTCCCCTACATATTTTATTCAAGTTGTTGGCTTCCTTAAAAAATACCATTTATCAAACTTTCACGATTGCTCGATCTGATCAGCTGTTCCGTATTCGGTACAGTGGAAGCGGGCTACGCAACAGACAAGCATACAGCAACAACCACCCTCAGAGGAAGGAAAAGTGTCACACCGTCCCACTGCAGTACTAGAATCATGTTGCGCCGTGGCGGTGTGTGTGCAACAGTGCTCGTATCGCTTGAAACTTGTTCCTTCCATATTCGCATCAATTCAGTCGTTTGCCGGCTACCGACGCGTACAGATTGACGTTTCGAGTTTTCCGCACTTCCGGTCAGTACAGTGTTACAGCACACCTTCCAGTGTCCAAATTCTATCGTTTCGGTGTAAATAATCTCGAATGACCAGCATCTTTTCCCCGTCGAAGCAGAAAGAAGAAACAGCCTGAAGAAATATGTGTGTCAAGTGGCCGATGGGAAATAGCACCTCCCCTCAATACCGCTAAGTAGAGTAAAAGTGGCAAGTGATTAGTGGGAAAATCGTTACCTACTCCTTTGCTATCGGCAGCTTACCTTGCTAAGGTTGGATATAGAAGCAGCTGTGGTCAAGCATTTTGGATGTTTTGTGGGAGTGTAGCGTAAAACTTCGTCCTTGAGCATACATCGCGCATCGACAAGTGCTTACAAATCTTCTGTTCAACGAACGACTGAGTGTAAGGAAGAGTCTATCGGTGTTCGTTATTTTTAGAGAGGACATACTCGAGGCAAGGTTCAAAACAAGCTATTGTTGGAGCAGGCCGTAACAAATTGAAACATCGTTGCGCACGAAGAAAAGCGAGGAAAATTGTGTACTACAACTGAAGTGGTGTCATTGGAAAATTTATTATCGTTCAATGGGTCAGTCAGCCAATGGATTTCGTGGAAAGTTTGAGGCCAGCAGAATGAGCGCATAGAAATGTGATATGAGCTAGGTGGGACGACTCGTTCCGGTGATTTGGGGGGACTACAACTGACGATCGGTTGGGTTTGGAGCTCGGGTGGGTTCAGTGAGATGTCCTGTCAGTAACAGACAACGGTATGAGTGGAGCTCATTTCATGTTGGAATAAGTGAGACCAGCAAAAGCGGGTCGATTTCTGGCAGAAGCTGAATCTGGGAAGCATTCGGACGGAAATATTAGTCGCAGGTATAATATGAATGTTTCGGTTTGGTTTTAGTTTACTGCCCATAAAAGCATATCAGTCCCATACGGAAAAACAGCAAGCCGAGAAAAATCTTTGGTATTTTTCACCATATTCTCTTAACAAAACATGTGACTTTTAGTGCACAGTGTAAAATACAGATAGTTTACAATGCATTCTAATGGATAACAAATTTCTGATAAAAATCCATATGGGACTCTTATGGCTTTATGGGCAGTTTAGTTTGTTTACACTGTTACTGCCTAGCCAGAAGGGCTAGTCTAAAGGTTCCCCTAACCTCTGGTCTAGCCACGGAGGTCGTCTGGGGTTGGCTACATCCGCCTCTTTTTACTGGCTAGCTCGAGCTTGAGGCCTCTCACTCTCAGGGTCGGCTTTTATCATGGAATCGCTATCCAAGAGTCCAATCTTTCATAGATTAAACGACACACAAATTCACTTTAATCCTTTTTATTTCCTAACTAACACTTACAGTGGGTTGGGTGTGTAATGGTTGGCCGGCCGGCTGCTGAGGGGACACGTGGTCGCGGGCGAGTGGTCGGGGGGGACCGTGATGATACTGGGCGCCGTCGTCTGGTTGGGTGCGCTCAGGGAACCAGTCTGTGTGATTGACCGTGGTTCGGGCTACGGCCAGGGTTACCGTCGGGCGTGGCTCACACAGGGAAACAGCACGCGATGTCGGGATGAGCGTCGTCGGTTTAACCTCAAAACTCGAGGGCCGGCTTGGATTGCCGAGATTTGGTCCACAAGGGGGTAACACTGGGAGCTAGCGTGGGTCTTCGCGTCCTGATTGGCGACAAAACACAAGCCGATAAACTTCAGTATACGCGCGGTACAGACTAACCCCTTTGGTTCCGTGGGTGTCTGGGGAAAAACGGCCACAATCGCTCACGAGGTTCTAGCTTCGTCTACTTAATGTTGCACGATGATCCGTTCACTTCCGTGGTACTTTGGAAAAAGCCTCGATTGTTGCTCCAGTCCCAGTAGCTAGCCCTTTATTTCTTCTTCTCCTTTTTCTGTTCCTTCCTTTTTATTCGTCCTATATCCACCCGCGACAATCCAATAACCGTCCCCTGCAGCAATTTTAACGTGTTGTTGTGTGTACTAAATGTGTATTTTAACAAACTTTGTTCTTGCTTTTATTATGCATGTATATATATAACATTTTAACTTGTAGAGTGTGCAGGTAACTTGTATATTCCTAACAAGAAGTGTATATTAACTATCATATTTATTTTTAGACATATACACATAAAAATTAGACATTTAACAATTAATAATTGAAATTTTAATACGAATAGTTTTTTATTCGGCAAGCAAGTTGGGATATTACGTCGCAACGGTAACACTACCATCTCCTCCCTCTCTAAAATTAATCAAAACAAAGTTTTCGATTAATTTTACAAATGTTAAATTCATTTAAACCAACCCAGGTTTGAGTCGCAACATTCATGCTCTCGATTTCATACAAAAATCTACATTATTTGCGTCAAAACAACAAATAAGAGTCTCAAACAGGCTTTGAGAACCATTTGTTAACGCAATCAACTCCGCGAAATGGTTACTAAATCTTCAACTCTACCAATATCCAAAACAAGGTATTGTTTTGAGGAAGAGTAAGATTGCTCTTCTTTATCAAAACGAATTTATTCTGATGACTTATTCTTCGAATGTTGTTTTTGTGGAATCGATTCTAGGTTTGTTTAGGTGAGATCTAGAGAAAATGCTTTAAATTTATGGATTTTTGTGGGTCATAAGAGGTATAACTTAATCAGAATCTGAAAATGTAGGGCTGAAACTTGGTACCGTAGCTTCTGCTCATTGCAACCTGGAAATGTTTGCATTCGTAGTTTGTTTACCTTTGATCGGTCAAATTTCCCTGTCGCTTCTACCTTCGCAGACAATGACGTTCGTGTGGTCCTTTAATATCTACTTTTTACAAAACGGGACAACTCTATACGGAAAACAATCAAAACGGCTGAACACTCTCAAATCATCAGATTCGTTATTCTACTCTCACATTATTTGCTCTACAAAACACAAAAGTGGATAATCATCCTATATACAAAAGACGCGTACTCAACAAAGGCTCTGCAAAATCGGACGAATTTCATCGTTTTCTGGAAAATTTCATCGTTAATACTGCAATTTATCAACTGATAAGCTGGACGGAGATCAGTTTTCATCGGGGACGCCGGGTTTAAGATCCGCTGATGAAAATATACCAAGATTTTTACCTTGCTCATCAACAAGCTCATAGGAGCTAGTTCCTCGACGTGAAACAATAGTGCACGGTGTATAGGCTGGACCTAATTTAGCGTTATAGGATTCCCCAGCCGAAGATAGCGTAAAATTTCGCTTATAAACGTTCTGTCCCACCTGGTACCTTGGCGCAGGTTTCCGAAACCGAAGATTATAAGCATTGGTGCTTCTTTCGTGTGCCTTAGCTAAGTTCTTGCTGACAATTTGGTGTATTTTCTGGTCAATTTTTAATTTTCGATCCACTCTTTCAGATTCGGAGACATCAGAAGTGTCGGGATCACGACGATGCTCTTCACCGGTAGCAATAATTTCATGGCCAAACAAAATCATATATGGTGTTAGGCCAGTAGATGAATGCGACGTATTGTTCAGAGTATATTCTACTTCTGAGATCCTCGAATCCCATGAACGCTGGTCAGTTTTAACATACGTTCGGATACATGAGTTTATGCTCCGGTTTAAACGCTCGACCGGATTAGCCTGGCTATGGTGTCGGGAATTAGCCCAGTGTTTCACCTGATACCGGGTCAAGAAATCCTTGAAAACTTTGCTCATAAAGCTCGTCGCATTGTCGCTAATCAAGATCTCAGGAACGGAAAAGCGACGAAACCATTGTTCCTCGAGGATCTTGATAATAAGAACCGTCGAGATCTTCCTCACTGGAACTAAAACGGTCCATTTGGAATAGACGTCTAGGAGTACCAGCAGGTGTGAATAACCAGATTTTGATCGAGGCAACGATTGAATGAAATCGATCGCCAGAATTTGGAAAGGTTTCGTGGCTACTCGTGGGTTACCCATGGTTGGATGTTGTGAGATGGTTGTTGGCTTACACTCTTTGCAGATTCGGCACCGTTCGACATATCTCCGTATTGAGGTGGCCATCTTCGGCCAGAAGTACCTTGTTCGGATTTTATCCAGCAGCTTATCGTATCCAACGTGGAACGATTCATCGTGCTCTTTTCGGAGAACCTCATCCCGAGACTTCTCCGGAACACAAAGCTTCCATTCAAAGCGAAAGTCGAGTATTTCGGTTTTACTCGGTACGAATTTATACAATTTACCCTCTTCCACTTTATAATCTACACAGTCGTCTGGTGTCGCAAGGACTTTATTGTACTGAATGGAGTACCATGCATCTCCCTCATCTAGTGCTGCTGTCTCCATCGAACGCGATAGTGCATCCGGGATTATATTATCCCTCCCTCTTCGGTGTCGAATCTCAAAGTCATAACCTTGCAATTCTATACTCCATCGACTGAGTCTAGACGAAGTGCGCCACTTTCCCTTCATTATATGGGTGAGTGCAGAGGCATCGGTTATGACCATAAACTTTGTGCCTTCTATGTATGGACGGTATTTGTCTATGGCAGTCAGCACGGCTAATCCTTCCTTTTCGGATGCTGCATAAGCTTGTTGGGCTGGAGAGAGCTTTTGTGAGAAGTATGCCACAACTTTCTCTCCATTCTCGTGCTGCTGCGTGAGGATTGCGGCGATGGCACTATCGCTCGCATCGGTTTGAATTGTAAAAGGTAGTTGAAAGTTCGGATTTGCGAGGACTGGAGCTGCGATCAAACTCTCTTTCAGCTCTATAAAAGCTTTCTCGGCAGCCGGATTCCAGACGATCGTTTTAGGTTTCTTCTTCAAGAGATTTGTCAGAGGTACAGAAATCTCGCTGAAACGGGGAATGAAACGTCGATAATAATTCGACATTCCCAAAAACCGACGTAAGGAACGAAGTGATGTTGGCCGTTCATAATTGATTATGGCCTCAACTCGTTCGGGATTTGGTCGTAGACCATCGGATCCGATAATATACCCGAGGTATGGTAATTCGCTCAGGCAAAATTTTGATTTGTCAAGATTAATGGAGAGATTTGCGGACCTCAGTCGTCGGGCAACTTCTGCCAGTGTTTGAAGGTGTGCTTCGAATGTGCTGCTTACAACGACGATATCGTCGAGGTAGACGAACACATTCGGTTCCAGTTCACCGTAGCCCAAGACTTTATCCATTAGCCGGGCCAACGTAGCAGGGCTGTTGACTAGTCCGAAGGGCAGTCGGGTGAACTGAAACAATCCTCTACCCAACACCGAGAACGCCGTATATTTTCGAGAACTGAAGTCAAGCGGAATTTGTAAAAAAGCTTTAGTCAAATCAATGGTTGTAAGAAACCGACTTGGCCCTAGTCTACTCAATATACGATCCTGGTGTGGGAGAGGATAAGCATCCCTTCTAGTCCGATCGTTTAGTCGTCTAGCATCTAGACAAAGGCGAACTTCACCGGTGGGCTTAATGACTGGGACTGTGCTAAGAGCCCAATCACTTTTACTGGGTTCAATCACCTGCTGACAAAGCATTTTATCCAACTCACGATTAATGCGTTTCTGCATTACGGGGGACGTTGGATAGGGGTTGATCCTGACGGGTGGTGTATTTTGAAACTCTTCTTTGAGTTCAATTTTGTGAGTGAGGAGAGGAGTGACGTCTAGAACTTCTCCTTCTATTGCTATTTTGAAGAGCTTTTTCACTTCTTCAAGCTTAGTTTTCTGTTCTCCTGTGATAATCTCTACGTCACCATCCCCCTCTTCTCCTCTAATTTCTTCATCCCCTGTTCCTTCGTTTTGCATCGCCTCTATCAATTCACTGTGCTCGAATTGCACAGTGGGTTGAATTTTAAATGTTCTCCAAAAATCGTACCCTAAAATTAATCTTCGTTTCAGATTC